TAGTCGATGTGTGTGTACACTGTTGTTTCAATAATTTTTCAAATAAAAACATTTTTTGCAGGGTGAGATCTCATGCGAGGTGCTAGAATACATGAAGTTTTGGGAAACTCAAATGCAAATGACAGCCTACAGATTGGTTTGCAAGTTACGAAAATTTGAGAGAATGGATGTGGTTAAAGTCCTTCGAAAATATCTCCCATCAGGAACCACAGGTACAGCCTGGCCTTTATGGAACATGTTGTAAACATAAGAAAATGGACAGCCTTTATCAAATGAAAAAAGTGGTTAAACAAGTACTTGTGTGTTATCTCAATAACAATGTTTGCGGTATTGCAGATTGGCATACTAATGACATCACACGACTCGCATAATAATTAACTAGATTTCCACCTATATCTCAAAAACCAATTATTATATTTTAATAAGTCTTGATATAAAAATACAATAATTTTATTAAAACTTGGTACATAGATGCTTCTGGGTAATACACAAACTTGATTGGTTTAATGTTCAAAACAGTGCATATTGATTATCTAACTATTATTAGTCAGTTTCTGATATGTAAGAAAACAGATTTAAATTGAACTTGTGGTAGGTGTGCTCTGGAATAGGCTACAAACCAAATATAATTTTGTTGTTTGAGAACTCACACTTCAATACTGTGGATCACATTGTTGTCATATAGTGCATCTCAAATAGCAGACTAATATTAGTTGCCAAGCTTTTTGTTTGAAAGGCTAATCTTTTATTTTCAATTATTTTTTATAAAAATTGAACACAGGAATTCTTTCTAAAATTTCCTCGATTATTATCTTATGTAAACTTACACTAAACCTTTTTTTGCAGGTCCCAGGAGGCCAAGAAATATGCATATCAAAAGTCTTGATTATGGTGAACTTGACGATTTCTGTAGATGTTTGAGTGTTAGACAACCAAACGGTAAGTACATATCCCCAAAATAAACCAGACAACATTTCAGTGTGCTTGTGTAAAGGAATTGCGTCACTGAAATGGTATTTTCACTGGCACATATAGACTGATATGTTGTTAACATTTTGGCTGTCCCAGTTATGTCCAGTTATGTCCTGCTTTTTCCAACCACCAACTACAGACTGAGCCTGATTAATCAGATTACCGACGGATTTCGCTACAATTAACTGTAGATCATTGAAAACTGCTCAAAATCAACTCATGACTACTATCTCTTTTTTTTTAGCTGTAACAGACAATAATTCCAAACATTGATTGTCATGCTTGTCTCTTCTAACTTTTTGAGGTGTGAATTTTGGTCCTATGGCCAACTTAAAATGCATTATGCAAATATATCATATCCAATCACTGCGTCACAGGGCTGGGCAACCATCGGGACATTAAAATTAGTTTACTATCCTTACTTCAACTAGACCCTGTAAAACACATATGGGCATTATACCCAGGTTCCATCATACCCAGGCTTTGGTCTTCCGATTAATTAAACTTGGGTATATCGATCACAAGTCTGATCCAATCACAAGCAACATTTATTATTAAAATCCTACACATTTGTTGCATATCCTCGGGGGCGGAGCTAAGTCACGGACGTTCTACGTTGCTAAGACGCGCACCACTGTACCACGTTTTTCTAAGGGCTCTGTGCGCGCTGCTGTGGAACGCTGGTGAAAACTCGAGAAAACAACACAAACTCAACTTTGAAGTAATCCTGAACAACCAAATTCATATATGTTACACACGTAGGGCTAATCTTGTTACACTGTTCAGGGGATTCTCAACAACCATCGCAAAGTACCGTTTTCTGCGAGTTTTTGGTCTTTGTTTTCACCGCGAGGGTTGCCAGGCGGTAAAAAATGCCTGGATGTCCGCCCCCGAGAATATCTATTAATCAATTTTGAACAACATTTTTGTAAATTACACTAACCCGACCAACTTCCCAGAATTGATATCACGATTGTCAGGCTGATCCAGCATGTTGAAGAGCTAACTGAAATTACATATTAAGAAATTTGGATGATTATACCAATACTTGTCTAAATAAAGTAACTGATAAACAGTTTAACTGGCTAATTGTCTTGATGTCGTTATGAAAACCTGTGTTATTGACCAGTGAACCAGTAGAATTATTTGATTGTGACTGAAAAGTGTTTTGCTGGCATTATACTGGTTCTTTGGGATTCTACTCTCATATTTAGTATTAGGTTCGTGTTATTACAATCTCAAAAAAAAATCGTATTTAGCATACACGCAGCTCAGTTGTGATGTAGTATTCAAATTGGCACAAATTCATTATTCATTTTCACAATGTGTCTAAAAATGATAAATATAACTACAATCATGGATGGATTTGACTATCGTATTCGATCTTGTAATAGGATTGTCACACAACGAAAAATGCTGTGTGAATTGATGATCTGCAATTGAACAATCACTTTGCCTCCATTTGAATGTCTGTCCATTTATCTCCGCTCATGACTTATGGATGATTGTCCATCGATGTCAACGTTTAATTTTTTTCGACTTGTTGAAGTCTGATTGTTTTGATGTTATGCATATACAATTACGTGGACCTCCCTCAGATTTGTTCATTTTGTGAGGATATCTAAGTCTATAATTGTGATGAATATTTTTTCCATTTATAGCAAAAAGTGATATTTTCAACTTCTCGTTGAAAGCCGAAATGATGATATCTTCAATCCTCTAATTGGAATTGCTAACAACTGAGATATCTCAGCTGAGAGGACTTTGTTTAATGGTTTAAAATAGTCTTCAATGCACATGTATTCATAATGACCTATCTCTGTTGAAATTACTATGGGCTACAGCAATTTGAAACATATATATCTGAGAAATCCACAAATATTTCATGCGTAAATATTTAAAAGACAAAAATATGGAGCCGCAATTACAGAAATACAGAATTGAAAGTATTCCTTGTGAGCATGATCCTCAGATAACAGTCAGCAGATCGCTATCAGACTTGTATATATATATATGACCTGTATATATTTTGGATTTTTTTAAGGTTGTTTTAAAAGTGTATATATAGTGTCTTTTTTGAAACTTGGTAGTGCTATGATCTTCCAACCATATGCCGTTTTCTTCCTGCCTACCTATGTAATGGTATCCCTGTCCTATATTATCTGCCTGCCCTTACATATACAGGGAAAGCCATGTGTAATTTTGCAAGCATAGATTAGGTTAACTATTCCTAATAGTCAAAAAACAATGTCAATACATAACGACATACCAGATATATCAATTGTGACATTCATTGTACTATTGACAAAGTGTTATGCAGCTATACTAGTCTGAGTGGGGGGGGGGGGTAATAAACCATTGTCTTAAAATCTCTCACTGTATACCTTATTCACTATGTGCTTTTTCAGGAATGGATTGGCGAACATTTGCTGCTAATCTCGGAATTGGAAAAACACTCATTGATCTCTGGGACCAACAGGAAAATAAACTACCAATGCACAAACTTATGTCAATCTGTGAAACACAGAGTGATGCTACCATTGGAAAGTTTTATGATGTCCTTGTTAAAATGGATTTGCCACATATTGCAGACGAATACTTATAACGTTATCATCCACGCCCAGTGTAGTTTAACAATTATGCTGTATTGAATAGCACAATGCCACATTTATGTAACGATCTCAGTCGTATCTATATCCAATCCAATCTCTTGTTTACATTGTATTAACAAAACTGACTTGTATTATTTTGTCAAAGATGAATTTCTTCTTTTATCACAAAGCTTCCTATTATAATATGCATATCTGAGATCTTAATATGTATGACATTTCCTTCCATTATCATTGATTAAGAAGGCCTTTTTGTTGTAACAACAATTTTCAGTCAATCGTCTTTGATTTTTGATATAACAAGTTCAACAAGTCTCATTTTTAGAACCTCGCAAATAGTCGGGCAAATATGTTCTTGATATATATAATATATTTTTATAATGATTTGGGTGTATTGATTCACTAAATAGTTTGTAAAGTACTAAATACTACTAGATGAAACAGCAACATTGCAATAAGCAAATATGTTTAACAATTTGTTTTAGTATTTGTTCACGTCTTGCATGTATGTATGTATGTTCAAAACATGTAGTGCAGTGCTTCCTCCCCTGACATAGAATCTTATTGCTAATTTTTCAGTTGATGGGACAGAGTGTTACTTTTATTCACATACATAAACATTTCATTCTGATGTGCATTGTTAATAATGATTATGGTGACCTTCATGTTTTATTGATATTTACTGCTCAACCTCATGGCAATAGTAATCTATGATCAGATGTGTGAATATGCATATCTAGAGTAAAATAATAAAAAATCAAAATTTAACTGGTTTGTATTGACTTGATATAATTCGGTTTGTTTAATATTGTTACGTACATCAAACACCTAACCTTGTCCATTTTAAATCGATTGTGTTATGGTAGATATTTATAATATAGTAGTAGTATTTTAACTATAGTAGATTATGCTTACGTGTATATGTACTTAGTCTATAGAATCGGGGATAGTGATTGTTATCACAGCAAATTTAAAATACAGTATGAATTTTTAACAAATAAAATCTAAGTTTAAATTGTTATTATTTTATTTGCGTTGTTGTCATGCGTGCATGTGAACAGTCCAAATAAAATATTATAAACTAGTTGTGAAGTTTGGTTAGTAAAATACTAATTATTGTACCAATTTTTTAAAAATGATGTTCATCAACACAGTCAAATTACGTCAAATTACACGAACATGTCTATTTCTGAAGTTTGTCCAATGTTGGCCAAGCTAATAGCCGTTTAGCCAAACGGCTTGTATATTGTATGCCTCTATTTATAAACTTTTCTGTAATTTTGTTTTGTCTTTGACCAAATTTTATGTTTGTCACAATGAGTCATATCGACGTACACAAAGCATGCAAAAAACGCGCTGCGTGACGACCACCGCATCGGTAATCCGTTGTTCACAGTGACGTGTACATTGGTATAATATTTTCAATTATATCGTTTATTTATATTCCACTACATAAAATGGTACGTCTCCTATTGTAATAGATTCTCCCAGAGTGGGCGTGACCACAAGTTTGAGCCAGCGAGATTCTACAGCCAACTGTGTAGTCATGGAAGCAATAAAACTCAAGTAGTTAGCTAAATCGGTAGCGAGTTTTTAAATTGGCTGCCCCAATACTTTTGAAGACTTGCTGTAAAAAACACACAAAAAACATGTGGTTGTGTACAACTAACGAACATTTTAATTAGCATGTACTTAGCCTTATAAATGCTGAATAGGAATTAATTTAAATACATGTGAGTATATTGTAAGTATGTAAAGTTAAGTATGTACCATTATGGTAATATACCTTCCAACGCAAAACACTGGTCATATACGAAACGTCCGCCCTGGTCGAAACTTTCAGTGCCGAAACGTCCGGGCCGAAAAGTCCGCGGCCGAAACGTCCGGCATTCCGTTCAATTGTTTAATGACCATTGACCCTGTTCATGCGGAAGTATTCCAGGAACCAGTTCTTCATATTGGTATTTTACAGCAGATCGGACGTATTGTTTGAACGTCAATAACTTTATAATATTGCATGTAAGCGTCGTTCAGGGCAGTTGAACACAGGAACATGGAGACACCTCACGCCGACAAAGTCGTTAAAAAAGTGAGTATATTCTGTTGTTGACTTCAACTGTGATCACGTAAGCAAACTTAGTTGTCACGTCCATATATGGCAAATGTACACACTCGAGATGATAAATAAAACTATAATGAGTGTTTCTAAATTGGAACACGTGTCTTAGTCCCAGCATGACAAAAACAAGTGATTAAGTAACTGTGTGAAACAAGTGATCATGATACTGGAAATTTGACCTTGCAGTTTCCGAACGTGTTATGTGAACGAATATTTTTTGCGAGCCCAGTGTGCTGCTTAAGCTTTAAATTAGAACTGTCAATTTAAGTTTTGACCTCGTAAATTTGGCAGTGCTATCGCAATACTACGGTCTTCAAACCCGGGAACATGACATGAGAAAACAATTGAGTGCGTACGCGCTAATACAATGGATGGTGAAAGATTCCCACGACGGAGCTCCATGACCTGAAAAAATAATAGGTCGAAACACAAGGAGCTAACCGGTCAAAAACACAAACTACGAACCGATGACAGAATTAAAACCAGGCATAATAGCCCGGGCTAAAAAAACAAAAAAACTTCGGAGTAAATGATATAATTAAAATAAATGAAAGCAGGCGCCGACTGACCGTGAAAAATAACCCTGTCAAAATCACAAAGTATGAGTTGATAAATGACTGTCGTTTTATGTGTTTAGGCACTGTCCCTCCACACCGTGTGGAGGGTCTGTGGTTTAGGTGTGGAGCGTGATCATACATACATTGGCTAGTAGAAGATGTGGTGAAAAAATGCGGATTGCGAACGCCCATAGTAATATATGATTGGGGTTGTCGAGGTGTCTTAATTCTAGAATTGTTTGAAGGCGAGATGTTATGAATTTTACGTCGTTTTTTATTTTTTTTTTTATTTTGACGTCGTTACCATGAAGTCATAATCAACGCGCCTACAAATATTGCAGCTTTGTGATTGAGGTGTGCAATAAACTCCTTTATACTTTGCACTAGAGAACTACATGTGAAGAGGTCGTAACCATGGTGCGAATAATGTCGGGTCGATACAAACATAGAAAAGTGTGCTAATTGGAGTGATAAGCGGTGGTACATTCTCTACCTGTACCGGTAATTTACACCTATTGTTTTCTCTCCGATAAGGTCTAAACAGGATAATTAGCACGTTGCCACACTTGTTGCCATGTCTGTAAAAATCGGAGAATAAAACTTCTACTCATGGAGCATTAGTGTTAACGAAACAAAAGGCCCACTGTAAATGACTTTTGTCTTTTATGATATTTTTAAAAATAAAAAACGATACAATGTAATTTATCATCCATGTTGCACGATTGACCTGACACAAAATCCTTCTGTTTTTAACAATGATCACTTATAAATGAAAGGCGTTGACAATTTGAACAAACGTAGACGATGCCAGTTTTCGACGACAGCTTGCTTCGGAGCTAACATTTTAACTGTGAACGATATGGGCGCAGCGTGAATATAACAAAAATGGTTAATTCAATAAGTTGAAGTAGAAGAACTTGATTATACAGTGTAGCCGATAATGAACGTAAATGGCAACAACACGATGCGGAATGCAAATTTGTCCTATAAATTTGCACGTATACACTGACGCTGAATACGAATGAGAGCATTATTTTATTAGCATCAATATCTTATTACTGGAATAAGATATCAATAAAGGGCACTATTACTATTATTGTCACGTGATTTCAGTTTTATGAATAAGAATAATAACACTGAATATTAAAGGCCACATCTAGATGCCATAGTATGAATGTGTATTGTTATTCGAATTGTCTTTCATTGTGAATATTATGATCTACATCCACTCTTCAACATTTGAACCATATAGTTCTGACACCTGTAATTACCACTGCAATGTAGAGCACATTTTTTTTGCAAATTAATTATTGGGAAAGTAATAATTTATATTTTTTTTGTTGGGAAAAAGTAATAAAGAGGTAACCAAAGTTTGAATTGTTGTGGCAAGGATGAGTCGTTTCGGTGTTTTCGGATTCACCTGTTTTGTGTGCTCCGGTCATTGAAGTGCGACCTCAATTCTAATTTGTTCAGATTCACTTGTTTTGTGTACCCCCGGCATTGAAGTGCGCCCTCAATTTTAATTTGTTCGAATCCACTTGTTTTGTGTTCTAATGTCATTGAAGTGCCCCTCAATTGTATTGTGTATTAAACTGGCTAATATTGTTGAACAGCTCGGTTAATCACCTGATCAGATGGTAAAATTAACATCCCTGGTCATCGTATTTGTGGGTGACTAGAATATCAGAAATCTATAAAGTCTCATCGTATGACATTCCTTGACACTTGTTGGTGTTTTATCTGGTACTTGACAGACATTCTGAAGAATTTGGCTCCATCGAACCAATTTATATAGTAGTTTACATCGGCTATTATTCACCCATCA